CCCGTATCCCCTGCATCGGCAGGCGGACTCTCAACCACTGCGCCACCAGGGAGGCCCTGTTCTCTTTCTTCTTGATTGCTGTTGGTTGATTGCTGTTCGGTCCCTGTCCCTTCCTTGTTTCCATGTTCCTGACTCTTTTCCTGTTTGTGCTCCCCGTGGGGAGACGGGCTCTCCCACCACTGCCTGGGCTGCTCTCTTCCCCGCCGTCCTGGCAGCAGCCACTTCATGAGTTTCCAGGCTCCGTTGTCGGGGGTAGAAAGCTTCAGGAGGTCACTGGGTTCTCCCGGTGGTTTGAGGACGTGACCCCCTTTATCCTTCAGGAGAGTCTCTGTGTGCTCACCTTTCCTGTCGCTGTACTTTGAGCTTGTGCGTCTTTACTTTTAAAATGTGTTTATCGGCTGCTTGTAGTTGGGCCTTGCTTTGTACCCAGTCTGACCATTTCTGCTTTTATTTTAGGTATTTAGACCATTTACAGCTGACGTGATCACTGATGTTAGGTTTACATCTGTCATCTTGCCATCTGTCCCAACTATTCTTTGTCCTTTTTCCCCCCCCCCCCTCTCTCTGGCCTTTTTTATGATTCCCCTTTGTCAGCTTGTTACCTGTAACTTTGGAGGAGGCAGCTTTAGGGTTTGTAGAACATTTTTCGGGGGTGTTAATGCCGAGTGTGGTGTGAGGGCCTTTCCACTCTCCTCACCCTCACCTCTGGGCCTGTTTTGTCACACGTTTTGCTTTTATGTAGCAGACATGCTGCCGAGCTTTGTTTACACACAGATGTAAAGTGAAGACGCAATCTCGGCAGTTTCCTCTGAGCCTCGCCAGTCGCGGCTCCTTGTCTGTGTGTGGACCTGCCCTCCCTCTGGGGCCATCTTCCTGTCCGAGGGTTTCCTGTGACGCTCGTGGTGGTGCAGGTGCTGTTTGTCCGGAGTCGTGTTCATTTCACCTCAGTGTTTGAAGGGCGTTTGCCCTGCGTGTAGAACTCTAGATGGACGGATTTCCTCAGTCCCGCAGAGCGGCTGTTGTTTCTGATGAGAAATCTGCTGTCTGTCTGTCTTTGTTCTCTGTATACGTGACCCTCTGGCTGCTGTTAAGATTTCTCTTTATCTAGTTTTTGAGCAAATTTATGACGCTGGGCCTTGGTGTGGTTTCCTTCATGTTTCCTGTGCTTTTAGTTCCTCGAGTTCTTGCATGTGTGGTTGTGTAGTTTGTATCACATTCGGGTGGTTTCTGGCCAGTCCTCTTCTCTCCCAGGACTCCACTACCCAGGCACTGGCCGCAGGTGCCGCCGGCTCAGCAGTGCTGGCTCTCCAGTTCCCTCACCCTCTCTTCTGCAGAATCTGATCCGCTTTAATCCCCTGAGTGTGTGTTTCTTAGTGCTTTCCTCTAGATACGCGATTTGGATCATTTTTTTTTTTTACTATCTTCTGTGTGTTTTCTTAACTTTGTAACCACAGGGAACGCAGTTCTAATAACTGATTCAGTGTCTGGGAATTCTAACATCTGGGGCAGTTTCAGGTAATGGGTTTTCTCCTTGTTAATGGCTCTGTTTTCCTGCTGTGTGTGCCTGACAGCTTTTGATGGGGGGCAGGCACGTGAATCGGACCTTTCTGGTGACAGGTGTCTTTATATTCCTGTCCTGGGACCGTTATTTGGAAACACTTTGGTCCTTTTGGGCTTTCCTTTTACGGTTTGTCAGGTGGGCCTGGAACAGTTCCCAGGGCACCCCGCCCCTTCCCCAGCCTGTGGATCTTGGGTTCCGTCTGTCCCGGCTGCTCCCCTCCTGCCTCCTGGGTGGCTCTTCCTGGCCTCTGGCCTTGGGAAACTTGCTCTGCTGACCATCTGAGGGTGGCTGTCTGCCAGTTTCCCGAGCCCTCTCCCTGGGCAGCTCTGCCCTGTCTGACTCGCCTGCAGCCGGCAGCTGCCCTGGTCCCCAGCGCCGTCTCTCCACTCCGGGCTCCCCGGGGCCCCTTCCTGCACTCCTCCTTCCAGTGACTACACTCTTCGTGGCCTGACGTCTGGGCCTTGAAAACCACTGTGTGAAGTTTGGGTTGTTTCTTCCTTTTTTGTTACTCCAGGTGGCGAGTAGACCCAGTCCCTGTTAGCCCATTTGCATGGAAGTGGGATTTGACATATGTGGTTGTTTTTGGTTTTTGGTTTTTTTTGGCTGCACGTGGCTAAGCATGTGGGGATCTTGGTTCCCCAGTCAGGGATTGAACCCGTGCCCCCTGCACTGGAAGCACGGAGTCTTAACCACTGGACCGCCAGGGAAGTCCTGGAAGTAGAATTTGAAATGTCATGTATTGCTTGATGTTCGAGGCATTCAGTTTGGACCTCCGCTGTCCTTGGTGTTTCTGGGAAGCGTGACAGCCGACTCCCTGCGGGTGGCAGGTCTTGGGCATGCGTGGGTGGGAGTCTTCCTTGCCTTCGATCTCTTGTGGACAGAGGGGCCTGCGCAGCTGCTGCTCTGGGAAGTTTGATTTTGGACGCGCATTCCTCGGGGTTGTCGTTCCAAGACCAGCTCCGATGCTCACATGGGGTCCAGGCGTGAGGCCTGAGGCCCGTCCGGCCTCCCCCACTCTGCAGCTGCGGTTCACATCGCAGCCCTGCCTGCCCAGCGGGCGGTGAGGGGGAGGGGCCAGCGCAGGTGCTGGTCCAGGGGTCCTGGCCCCAGGGCTCAGGGAGTCACGTGTCCATGGAAGACGCTGGTCTCCTTTGGCCTCTCAGCCTCTGATGTGCTGCACCCGTCCCGTGCTGGCTCTTCCCCCCAGGCCCAGAGCACAAGTCAGTGGGGAAAACTGCCGTCCGTCTCCGGCCAGCTGCCTGGAGGCACCAGTGCAGCCTCGGCAGCAAATTGAGTGTGTGCCAGTGGCCGGGCTGCCATCGTGGGAGGCCAGCTCAGGGCCAGGGGATGACACCGCTGGGAGCAGCAGCTTTTCTGGCCGCCGCCCCAGGGCCCCGGTGGGGGAGCAGGTCTCAGGCAGCTGGTCGTGGCCACGTGGAAGGCAGGTGTCGGTGAGGCCCCAAGGTCCACGTGGCGGTCACCCGCACCCATGAGGGGTCATTGGTGGAGCTGCTGACCATCGCCCTGTGTGCAGGTACGTGCAGCACTACAGCCTGGGTGAGGCCTGCGACGACATCGCCAGCGTGCTAAAGCATGTGGCCGTGAAGCTGAGGAAGACCCAGAAGGTGAAGGTGCTGACGGGCACTGGTGAGACCTGGCGGCCCCAGGCTGGGCTCGGGGGGGGTGGGGGGGGTGGTGGAGCTTCTGGGGGAGGGGCTCGGGGCAGGGTGGGCGGGGCAGGGGG